GAACCTCGTACAACTCGCTTCGGTTGTACTCCCGCACCTAGACCTCGTCTCCAGATTCCTGCCTGTCCTGATCGTGGTGTGCCTTGGGCTACCCGACCCTCAGACCTTGTCCGTTACAGATTTTAAGTTAGCTGGAGTACGGATTATGTTTTGGGGCTGTATGGCATATGGGTATAGGGGACCTTGCTTTTTGTAGGAGAAAGAAACCAAGGAAGAGAAAGACTACTACAATCAGATGCTAGAAGTTGAGAATCAAGGAAAGAGGTGGCGGCAGGAGCAACGTCAAGCACGAGCCTGAATTGAAGGAACAGAAGAGCATAGGATTTTACAACAAATCAATAGTAATGTACGTCAACTCGATGAGATTGACCCACTACCTTCTGGCTATCCATGTCAAAAGCGTCGTCCCGAATGGGGATTTAAAGAAAATATACATGAGCGAGGAGATAGGAGTAAAGGTAGAGTTGACTGGCTACTGTACCGGGAAAATATCCTACGTCCACGCTTTTATCTGTTTATTCAGAAAATTGAACGTGAGACTGGACGAGAAATGTGGGCTGTTGAGGACAATGCCCCATGTCATACGACTGCACAGGTTCTTGGAAAGGAGGAAAGAGATAAGCTTTGTATTCGCTCTGTTGACTGGCCTGCTCAGTCTCCTGACCTCAATAAAATTGAGCCTTTATGGAACTACTTAAAGGATTCATTGGAGGAGTACGAATTTAAAGGACAAAGTCAAGAAACGAAGAATCAAGTACGAGCAGCTCTGATTCAAGAGTGGAAAAAAATTCCTATTGAATTAATTAATAGGCACTGTTTGGATATACGAAATAAGTTGGAACTTGTTATACAGAATAAGGGAAATAACAATTTCCGTGGCTGAAATCTTGACTTTTTTTTTTCTTTTCCTTTTGTGTTTATTGAACTTTTTCTGCGTCGCTTCTACCTTGTTATCATCTTGTCATTTATTTTACTATTATGTTTCTCGTTCTCTCGGTTGCAATATGCTGCTTTTGCTTATCTTATCACACGTGACTAATATATCTATCGGCCGCACTCGTACCGCAGTGGAAATCACGTACCGATACTCGAGTACTGTACTCGTACGTACTCTCACAGTACTCGTACTGGTAACTTAACTCGCACCGCTGGGATAACTGTGCTTGTGCTTTATAATACCGTAGCTTTGAGTAAATATGATACTCGAGTATCGTACCGGTACAGTACTACGAGTATGGTGCCAGACCATTACGAGTAATTTACCGTACTCGAGTACCGTATGATACTCGAGTAGACTACCGTACACTGAGCCCCCGCCCTGTCGTGGCGCCATCCCACTATCCCGAGCTTTTCGCTGCCTGTACCGTGCTGTGCTGTACTGTACTAGTACTGTACGGTACAGTACTCGAGTACAGTGCCAGTACTGTAGTCAAGTCAAAAACCTCCTCGGCTCCAGTCCGTCAGTCAATCAATCAGCCAACCCCGCTCACCCCCTCCCTCCCCCTCCCCAACCGTGATGATAAACCCAACCCCAACCCCAGCATACACCCAACTAACCGCCTTCTTCAACTCCAACCCGGGCACAAGACTGCACATCGAATTCCATCCAACCCAACCCGCTCTTCCACCCACAATACTGACCTCAGGCACAAACATCGCCATCCCAAAGCCCCTGCTTTTAGAGGCCTTCCGGACCGCGCACCCAACCTTCTTTTCCCCGGGAACTACGGATCAAGGCATTCTAGATTCGACTTTGGTGTTACTGCTTGTCGCGGCGGAGAACCTCACTGCGGTCAACGCCCGCAGGAGGATCATCCTGGGCAAAGGAGCTAATAACGGTCGGGATGAAATCAAACTGATAGAGAGCTTCTTGACGTCCCCGCTGAACAAGCATAACAAGAGTCCGTTGCTATGGAATTACAGACGGTGGCTAACCGAGAGGTTCGGGGTTCTGGAAGAGGGGATAGAAGCGGAATTGACGGTTGTGGAAGCTAGTGGGGAGGTGCATCCTAGGAACTACTACGTATAACCCACTCCCTCCCTCCCGTTCTATTGCTACGACTGAACGATGGGGAAGGCCTGGAACCACGCCCGCTTTGCTACAACGTTCTTCCTCCCACGTTCCCCATCCGGCCCGCAACTCCCATACGTCCTCGAGCGCACAGCGAACTTTGCCCTCTCGCACGTGTCGGACACGAGCGTGTGGTCGTTCCTGCAGTTCTTGTTCTTTCAAACATTAGAGCACCCGGATCCCCACTCGTTCCGCGCCCAACTGGCAGACATTGTAGGGAAGAGTATGCAGTTTGCGCACGGGATTGCACGGGGTCACGAGAGCGTTTGGGCGTTTGTCCGGACGGTGCTCGGGAGTGAGGAGTTGCTGGATGGGGGGAAGAGGGTGGAGTTGATCAGGGTTTTGGAGGGGTGGGTGAGCGGGGATGTGGTTGGCGTGGAGGAGGCGAGGAGGGAGAGAGCCTTGGAGGAGAGGGCGTTGGGGTGGATCGGGAAATACCAGGGAGGAGGGGGAGGAGGGATGAGTTGGTAGAATTTCGTGCCGGTGAGTAGGTGCATTTGTACATTACCGGTACTCGTACAGTACCGTAGGTGTGGGCTCACGCATGGCGTTGGATGAGCCTGGTCTAGTACTGTGCCGCCATACTCCTATCAGAAAGTATGTCAATACGGTACCCACATCCACCGTACCGGTACTCGTGCAATGCACATTTCCCCTCTGCCGCCGACCAACCATATCCCAATGGAGCCCCACCCAATACGGTAGGCCACAGGTTCCCCCGGAGCCCATCGATCCTAAGTTACAAAGAAACGGACCCACAGACTCCCGGTGACACCGAACATCCGTCCCGAAAGCCTCGCTCAAAGGAAAAAAGCAAAAGCCCTACACTTTGAAGGAAAAAAAGAAAAAAAAAAGAAAAGTGCAGAACTTCGCCGAGTGATATTGCATGTCCTCATTTGGCTCCTCCTGTAACGTGGACCATATCAGGTGCATGACGCGCATACACGTGCCAGAAACGTGTAAAATGCCAAGCCATTACTGTTCCGGGCTCGTATCGCACCGTGTCATACCGTATCTTTCCTTCCCCTCACTCCCAGCATTGCCCCACGAGCGAGGGACTGAGCGAACCACCGGTACGAAAGACTAATCAACACAACCCCGCAATAGTACACAGCGACAGCCAATTCGAACGCTCACTCGCACAGCCCGGCTCCACCTCCATTCAAAATGTCCTCGCCCCCCCTCTTCCACCGCAAGCCCACAACGCCTGCACCCCCATCCCCATCCCCATCCCAAAGGCCACAGGCACAAGCGCAAGCGCAAGAACAAGCACAGCAAAGCACAGCTCCCAAATCCCCAAGAAAAAAACCACTCTTCCCGCCACCCGCGCAATCATCTCTACCGTCACCGTCGCCGAGGAACCCCCGCGCACGCACGTCGGACATCTCATTACCCTCAGCAATCACATCAGCAACGCGCATTGCTGCGACACCGCTGCTGCCCAGCAGTGTCCTACACAGTTACAGCGGCAACAGCAATAGCAACCCCGGCGAATCCTCCTCCTGCTCCCCTTCCTCCTCCAAACCTGCAACAGCTCCTATTGCCGCAGCAGCAACAAGACAAGTCCCCGACGCACCCATGTTCCGCGCCAAACCTTCCTCCTCCTCCTCACCCGGGTCCGTGGGCGGAGGGAGCGGTGATGCGCACGAGAGGATGTGGGCGGAGATGCAGCAAAAATTGCAAGAAGTCGAGCTCTCGGCGGATCACGTGTTTGGCTCCCCGCACGCAAAGTGTCTGGAAGAGTTGCGCGCAGCACAGATCGCGCTTGCGCAGGCTTGGATAAGGAGCGAAGAGGAGGGGGAGGGAGGGCTGGACGGGGAACATGTGGAGTTTGGTAGGGGGGCTTTTGGGGGAGGTGCTGGGAAGGGAAAGGGCGTGGCTGGCGCTGCTGCTGCTGGGGGAGGGGGGGATATGTCGGAAACGGAGACTGAGGGGGATATATTGCTCGCCCGCAAGAGGCGCCTGGCCAATGATGAGCACTTCGCTCGTGTCGCCCGGTCCGTCCAGGACGTCACGAGGAGGTTGGAGGCGGTTGCTGAGGCTATGGCTAGTGTTGAGATGGAGAGTCGCGGGATCTGGGCGGGGGGTACGGAGTCTGATGGGACTTCTATTCGGTGATTGGGGTTTGGCTCGGTTTAATTTTTATGGGCGTTTTCCTGTTTTTACCTGCTGGGTTCCTGGGTTTCTTGTGTACTTGTACTGTACTAGGTTCCGGCGGGACTGGCGGGGGAGGGAAAAGAAAAGAGAATAGAAAAAAAAAAGAGATAGCTCTCCTTGTTCCTAGAACTGTACGAGTACAGCGCCATACACAATGTAACGAAATAATTTTAATTTCCAAGAGATGGTCCATCGGGGAGTGCGGTATGGGTACATATTATGGTAGCAAAGTGTAAACCCTATATACCTTAGAAAATGCACCGCAGAAAGCAGAAACCCCCCCCCCCCCCAAAAAAAAGAAAGGAAAAACAGAAATCTAA